TTCAAAGAATAACCTAAATGTCAGAGACATTTCTCTGAAAACGTGTTACAGATCTAAAATGTGAAAGATATGATTGGGAGAACTTTCCACCAATCATTCTGTCATAAATTATCCTTTAGATAGTGGCTGAATTGATTATCAGTCACCCTGTCTTCTGACTTGACAAGCAGCATGACCTTTTTCTGGAAGTTCTCTGACAGCATAGCTCTGTTGTCCTCTTGCTTTGTCAACCACTCTACTTCAGGGTTTCCCAGCCTCAGCACTGTTGGCATTGGGGACTGGTAAGTCTTCGTTATTGGGAAAATGTTGTTCATTATAGGATGTTTAGCAGGCTCATTGGCCTGTACTCACAAGATGCCAGAAGCAACTCTTCCCAGTCATCACAATTAAAAATAAGTTCCAGACATTGCCAAATTTTCCCTAAGGGCCAAAACACCCCCCACTCCACAGTCAAGAACCATTGTTCTTTCTTTTTTAATAGAAACATATATGTGATAGAATGAGTGTTTTTCCCTTAAATTACCTTTTTTTCATTTTAAGAATTTGTTAATGAAATTTTGCTTTCATTATTTCATTACCTTGCAAGGATAGGAGCAGTGGTGTTGGAGTTATAGAGCACTGTGCTTAAAAACAGGTTGGGCTACAGGTTAGTGGTAGAGCACTTGCCTAGTGTCTATAAAGCCCTAGACAAGGATAGGGGTTGTCACATAAAGATGTATCTAGCTGTTTGAGACTCCAGGTGATGAGTAGATATAAAATATCTCAATTAAATTTAAATATGTATTGACTACAGTTTATTTTATTTGCTTGAGAAATTAACTATGCTCATTTTTGCATGGACAATGGAAAATTAACCATGTGTCAATGTTCTGGTTGTTATTACTTAGTAGTCATAATGTGGTTATAATGATCACTATTTTGACATGATTCTCCTTTAGGTAACATAAAAAGGGAAGAACCTAGTGTCTCCTTTGTTCAGACAAAGCATGCATTCAATAAGATCTTTTTCAACGTATTGGAAGAAATTTACTTTAATAACACTTTTACTTAAATTTTTTTGTACATGATAAGTCTTTTCTCTTCTTAAAACCTGTTACTGCTTCCCCATTGCTATAGATGTATTTAAGCAGCATCTCTTGCATACCTATCTTAACACAGAGGATTTCCTGCTGGTCCCACTGACCTGATTTGGGAAGAACTATTCTCTAGTGATGGAGATTAGTGGATAGCTCAGATCCAAAAGAGGAAATGAATAATCCAAATGATTGCTCAATTTGCAGGAATTGTAAGATATGGGGTGGTGTTCTGGTGTTTCCTGACATCTTGGTGATCTACAAGATTTAATTCTTTCCAAACCAGCTCATTTAAGACACCTGGGAAATAAGTGCATGGAAACAGCATTATTTAGCAGTTTGATGCCAGATGCATGAAGAGAACTTGGAATGTGTAACTTGTTTCACTAGCCCCTACCCTGAGAGCTTGTCCATTTTCTCACTTCTACTCTGGTGTGTAATCATTGCTTTAAAAAAAAAAATCACATTTGACTGTCTCTATGTTGGGTTTGTTGGATTTGTGATTAATTGCCTCAGTGAGGCCATGGTATTGGTCATCTTTTTTTTTTTTTCTTTCCATTTGACTCATTACCCCAGTTCTCTGTGGCACCTAATTTCTCAAGCTCCTAACATCTTACTCCAAGTTGACTTTGACTCCTGCTTTCTTGAAGAGATGCCATCTAAAATGAACTCCCTCAAATTTTCAACCCACTTGCTATGTATTTCTGCAATTTTACTCTCATTCTTCAGCTGTTTTGGGGTCTCAAAGAAGTTGACCTTTCTGTGGCAGACTTCTCCACTTGAGTTTTTAGTCATTTTTCCCCTCTTACATTCTTCCAGCCCTTACCCATGATTCCCCAACTTCTCTCCCCCACTTGCTTTGGCGTCTTTGTGGTTTACTCATTTAAAACATATTTGAATGCCTGTTCTTCTTCTAGGCATTATGTTAGAATGGAGTCTGGATGGTATAATGGTCAATAAATCAGAAGTGGTCCCTACATTATAGTCTAGTAGGTAAAAATGACATTAGTGTTAGAGTCACAAAACTAAACATATAATCAATAAAAGGATAGTGGTAAGAAACTATGAAGCCGTTTGTCGAGAAGTAGTTGAGTTGGTTTTTAAGAGGAGCCATGCAGTTTTTAAGGGATACATTTGAGGCATTAGAAGTAGCAGGGGAAGCCAGGCACAGTGGTGCATGTCTGTAATCCCAGCAGTTTGGGAGGCTGAAGCAGGAGGATTACAAGTTCAAAGTCAGCCTCAACAACTTAGCAAGGCCCTAAGCAATTTAGTAAGACCCTGTCTCTAAATAAAATATAAAAAAGGCTGGGGATATGGCTTAGTGGTTAAGTACACATGAGTTCAATCTCCCAGTAACGAAAGAAAGGAAGAAAGCACTTGCAAAAGCCTAACCTGGCTTAATGTTGCATCATGGTTGGAGTTTAGGATGCAAGGTTGAAAGGAGGAAGAGTTGAACCTGAAAAACATGGACAGAATCAGGAAGGTCCTTGTACGTCATATTAAAGAGCAGGATTTTTTTCTGAAGATATAAGGGAGCCATTTGAAGCATCCAAAAGCTTATTCTAGGTCTAAGGGTGTAGCTCGACAGTACAGCATATGTTTAGTGTTTGTGCTTAGCATTGGTTCAGCCCCTGGTACCAACAGTGACCAAATAAGCTCATCTAGAAACTCTGTAAAGATTAGTAAAAGCATTACTATAGGAAATAAGATGGGGGTGGGGGCTGTTGCAATAATCCAAGCCAGAAATAATGAGGAGCTAAAATTTGGTGACTAAATCCATGTGAAGAAAAAGAAGAATCATAGGAGTTTAATTTGAACATCTAAGAATTTATAATACAGAAGGTGTGCAGTAGCCAGTTACAGATATCTTATAGGCATGAGACTTAGGAGAGATATGCTAAAAGCTCAGGTTTATTTACAAGGTATTTTGATGAAATGGGTGGATAAGTGTGTTTACTGTTGTGCTGAAACTAGCTTAACTGAAAAGTGAAACAATTGCCCAGTCATTTGGAAGAAAACTCAAGATCCCAGTTCAGGTTTTTATTTGGAAATCATTTACATAAATGTGCTTATTACATAGGAATAGAGGAGTGTAGAGAAGGAAAAGGGCAAACATTATAAGTCAGGCCTAAAGGAACATGAATTTTTTACTTGGGGAGGATGTTGCTGTACGAAAGCTACTGCCCAGTGTAGCCCTGCTCTCTGCCCACAGCAATCTCTAGTCTCCCGTTGTCCAGTCTGTAACACATCTTTTACCTGCCTGCTGGAGATACCTTCTTAAGACAGAAACCAAGTCATGTAATATATCAGCACAGAAATCAGCTTTAGTTGGTTCTGTATTTTTCGTGGAGTTCAGTTCTCTTTAAGTTTTTAATGTAGGTCCTACTGCTCAATGGTAGACGTTTTGACCTGTTTTCATTATCTTCCAAACCATCCTTCTGAGTATGTTTCCTTTAAAGACACATCCCTCAATCTTTTGCTCACTCTGCTTTCTCAAACTGTTCCCATTTTCCAGTTATCAGAATGTAGCTTACCCCCTAAGATCCAGCTAGATGTGTCCCCTGCATCCTTCTCAAAAACCTCTATTCCTAAGTTGAGGCCTCTCTCCTTTTATTTCTATGCATTTCCCTCACCCTTGTTGGTTACCTACACAACTTTTCCCCATTCAGTCATGCACTTTCAGAGAACAGGGGCTCCTTCTCACTCAGGATTGCATCTCTAGGGTATCTAGCCCAGTGCTTTGCTCTTAGCGTGGGACCCATATGCATTTGGTTTTGGTTTTGGCATGATAAGTATCCAAAACTATAAATCATGAGTCAAAGTGGTCTTCACTCTATTACAGTATGATTGATTCTACAAACCACATCTCAATGCAGAGGATTTTTTTTAAAGGAAGAATATTGTAATTGAAGGATTTAGCTTCAAATAAATCAGATACGTGAATAGTAATAAATTCCAAAATCAAAAATCAACTCCAAACTAGATGAATGTATTGTAGCAAGCTCTCTTTCAAGAACTCACCTAGTCTAGTGGTTTTCAAACTGTTTTCTGTAGAGGGCTCTCAGGATAGGACTGGGGAGGCAGGGCGTGCCAGGCCATGTAAACCCTACTTTCACCCAGAGTGATTCTGTTTTCACATGTTTATATATGAGACTTTCAATAATTTTGCTATTACATCAGTTTGAAAACACTAGCATAACCTTCATACAACTTCTGTATCTTTGGAACTCTGGGCCTCCATTTCCTCATCTGCAAAATAAGAGAATGGTGCTATGATAGCTTGTGCTTTTATGCTGAGCCCCTTTATTCCTTTCCAAGAAAAAAAAAAAAAAAGAAGAAAGACACAAGAAATATTACAAGGCTTATTCAGGCCTCACAGAGTTACTAACAGAACCAAGAGTAGAATTTAACTACCAACCTTAATTGACATTTTTCCTCTTGCATCAGTTTTTTAAAAATTCCTACAAAGTAGATATAAGCAAACTATAGATATTATTTGGAAAAGGTAGATGTGAGCAGGTATATAAACAGCATGTAAAAATGAGCTATACCATGTAATAAATTTGCCTTATTTAAAGCTGGTGTGCTAGCTACAACCTGTATTGATTAAACATTTACCTGATTTTATGTTCATTCTTCAGATTTATAGAAATATTTGGGTTAGTTGTTTGCATGGCCCATTTCTCTTTTACAAATCAATAAATGAATTGTTTTCTTCTTGATAAATCTTCACATAATCAGTGGAAGCATTTAAAATCATTTCATTAATCATTCTTTCATGTTTAAATCTCATTGCATCTAAATTAAAAAGCATCCCTAAGAAGTTGTGAGGGTTTGGGAAGTAAGAGTCTCTAGATTCTGCTCCTTTCATTCATCTTCTTCGCTTTGCTCATCTTCCTCTCTTCATCCCCTCCTCTCCAAATCAAGGGTATCCATGAAGAGGAAACGAAGTCACAAAACAACTGAGAGGTGTGTGTGGAAAGGAGGGAAAGAAGGGCAGTCATGCTCCTTGGCCTTGTTGATGGTGGGGGTTGTTTATGGGCTGATCACATTCCAGCCTTGGGGGCTTTTTTGTTTAAAGATAAAGTAAAACAAAACAGCTCACAGAGACACCTCCTTCTTCCCCCTCCTTCTGCCTCCATGAGTCACTACCCATATGGCGCTGCTGCTGAGACCAAGGAATGAGTGAGTAAAGGTGTTTAGAAGTGAAGTATTGGTCCTAATTAAATAAGTGTCCTTTGCAAATAAGTGTTAAAACTTTGAAATATGGATCCCTTACTAATTTATAGGATTTGAAGATAGGCTAAGCCACCTTTGCATCATAAAAAAGGAATTGGGTGTGCCAGTTATAGTAATGTAGTAATACAGTAGAAAAGATGGCAGGAACAACCTACTTAAACTTTCTGGGGCTATCACAGCATCTATTGCAAATGAATAAACTATAACAGGCAGGATTGGTAAGACCTGCCCATGTCAACATGTTATAGCTTGACTTCACAGTGATACATAATGCAATCTGACTTCTCTCCCCTAGACCTCTTGAATAGGTTCAAATTGGTGGTAATTTCTGAGCTTATGTCGAGTTTTTGTTTTTGTTTTCAATCTGGTAGTTTTACCAAGTTTCATATATATACACATCTATCTTTGGTAAGATGCTAGCCTTACCATGAGCAGAGAGATAGAAATACTTATTTCTTGTAAACAATAAAGCATCTTACCTTTAATTTGATTACAGTATTTGGAATTTATTTTATAAACCTATAAAGGAACCAGAGAAATTATGTTGATGATTAATGCTTTCTGAGTTAAGTTTTAATGGTTTTCTTTGCTTGATGCTCTATCAGGTGAGAGCAGACAGACCATTCTGCAAATTGTGTTACTCCTTGAATTTGAAATTTTTCTTTTTGTATGTACTTCTTTCCAAAATACATTTTCACTGAGTCTAATCAACTTCACTAGTAGAGAAAAATCAACGAGTCATTGGTTCTTTTGTTGTTGGGGTCACTTACTACAATACCCACCTTTAACCTCTAAGTCTTCTCCTTCTTTATTTCTTTATTAAATGCTTGACTTAAAGTTATATGGCTAACAATAATAATCACATAATTATGGTACAGAAAAGCATAACATCCTCTTGAAATCTTTATGATAAGCAAAATAATACTTGTTTGAAAATACTCAGTGCCAAATCTTGCAGAAATCTGATTTCAAAAAGAGGAAATCTAAAAGGCAAAATGAGTTTCCGTAGAGATAACACTGAGAAAGCATTAGTTTCATCAAGACTGAAAGAGAAGGTTTTAAATCTTTTCTTTCATTTTATTTCACTTTGTTTTGTTTTTCTGAATTTTTTAATTTAAATAATTATCTAGGTATCTCCTCTTATATGTAATTCAAAATTTTAATGACAATTTATATTTTCTTTGGGAATATTAAATGGATCCTTTCCATAACATCTAATTATCTTTTTCAAAAAAATTTTTTGCAATCTTTTTTATTGCGTTGATTTATAAAGTATTGTTTGTCATTCAAACACCATTTCCCACAATACACTTTCATTTGGAGCTCATATTTATTCTAGAAGAAGCATCCAACACTCAGTAATATAATTTGGTACCACTGAAAGTGCTTATTTGTTTTTCTCACAAAGTTGTCATTAATAAAATGATACACTGAACAAATTTTTTGAAAGATTTAAAGAGCTTCCAAATTCAAAATCTTGCATACAGTTCAGTAAGAATCACTATGAAAATATGGAAACTACTGAAGATTACAAAGGAAAGACGCAATGTAGAAAGATAAGTGTATCACTTTTGTAATATACCATACATAGTATTAGGAGATTAATTTAGGCTGATAAACAAGCCACATTTTTTGCCACACATCTGAAAGCTGGTTTTGTTTATAAAGAGGAATTACACTATCTGGAGCACTGCTTCCTTGGTTTTCCATAAGAGTGAATATTTTTCTTGATAGACATTGCATTCTGACATAGACATTCTTATTCAGAACGGGTATGTTCTCTCCTCATTCAGGAAGTTGGTGGGTTTTCAGCATGTGAATATTGACTGGGTTTCCTTCTCTCATTTTTGACTTACTGCTTTTCTTCTTCCACAGCAGTCAGTCAGTAAGGACAAGTCCCAGGATTTCAGACTTGGCTCACAATCAGTGACACAGTAAGCAACTTTTCCTTCTAAATAATGTGTAGTAATAAATAATTAAGGTTTGTGTTTGTTTTTTGTTATTGTTTTTAGGATAATTTCTCCATTTCCTTTTTTCCTAGCATATGATCATACTACAAGTTAAAGTTCAGGTAATTGATTTTTAAATGAATTTAACTAGTTTACACTAAAGAAAATGTTTTAATGATTGGACCTTGAGAATGTGTATTATTTCAAGGCCATAATAATTGACATTAAATAATATCACACTAAACTTTCAAGGACATTTTGTTATTTACTTTTGTTTAAGTAACATATTGAAATAACTTCAACTGAAAACAAGTGATGTGGTAAAATGAAATTTCTATATTGAGGCATTAAAGAAAAATGCTAGTACTCAAATCATCCATCATTGTATATGTTCTCTAACTGCTTAACATATTTGAGTAATTTATTTTAAGGTATTTATCTTAAAAGATCTTAAAAGATCTGTCAGAAGGCTTTATATATATATATATATTTTTTTTTTGAAACTTACCATGTAACAATGTATAAAAAAGAAAACCTGTCTAAAAAAATGTTTACATAAAAACCTCCCCAACAGATTAAATGGGGTAACGAATACTAAGTGCTGTACTGACCCTAAGACCCTAAGAAATATTTAATAAATAGTAGTATTAAAAATTAAAAAAAAAAACCTCCCCAACATATTTCTCAATTTTTATCATTTCAGATTACCTTTTGGACCTAATATTAAGCCCGGACTTCACATTCATACTATATTAATAGCAAAATAAAACAGGAATGTAACAACTCTGATGTACCCTCCCACCCCACCCCACTATGTGCACACACAATCTCTGCTGAATTTCCTGCAGAAAAACATTAGTTCAAATTAACCCTGCTATATGCTTTGAGACTTTGAAGAATAATTTGTCTCGTCTTCAAAGATTCTGATTCAGATTACAGTAATTTACAAAATCATCAAAGCCATGCAGTTTTTCACAAGACAGTATTTCATTCTACAGATGCAAGATGTGAAATTTTTTTTAAGAGAGAATTTTTTAATATTTATTTTTTAGCTTTCGGTAGACACAACATCTTTATTTTTATGTGGTGCTGAGGATCGAACCCAGCGCCCCTCGCATGCCAGGCAAGTGCGTTACTGCTTGAGCCACATCCCCAGCCCCAAGATGTGAAATTTTTAAATGGATTTTTAAAAAATCACAAAATTATAACCTAGATGATACCTTAGAAATTCTTTCTATAACCCTTCTGTCTTTATAGTAGATAAAACTGGTTTTATAGTGGAGTAAACTTGTGCACATTTCAAAGCGCACACTTAGTCAGACCCTGGATCAAGACCTAAATCTCCTGATTCCCAGACTACTTGGGGTTTTTTGTTTGTCTCTTCTTTAACTGGACTCAGTATCCACAAGTTACTTAGTAAGGTATCATTTTTTAGGGGTTTTGTGGGGGTTTGTTGTTGTTGAGAGATAAGATTTATTGATAATTATTTATTTGGCCTGTGAAGCTTCAGAGTACATTCACCCATGTTTTCATATTTGATCCTCACAACATCCCTGGGAAAGAGGCCAAACCATATTTGGCCCCCATTGTACCAATAGAGAAACAAGATCTGAAAGGCTACAGTGAGGGTTCCTGTTTGTGGTATGTGGCAGATCCAGTACCAGAACACAGGTCCTCTTAATTCCAGTCTGCTCTTCTTTCTATGCTCTCCCTCCACCTGTCCCACAATACAAACACATACCCAGGTCTTTCAGGTTTTTGTTTTGATCTGCCATGTATGTTTTCAGTTCCAAGCTCTGAAAATTTAAATTTTACATAATACTAGATAGTAAAATCTCTGACCCTAAGAAGTTTATACCCAATGACAAATTACACATATATAAAGTAAACTGATAGAAGAAGGACTGTTTCAGTAACCAAATCAATGACCATATTAGTACATTAGAGGAACAATATTCTGTCTTTGAACATGTTTTATAACATTTTTTAGAACTTGGACTGGGAATGTAGTTCACTTTTTATTAAATATATAAATGAAACAATGTCTTTTACACATACAACTCTGACCACTCTGAGTAGCTATTCTCAGGTGATACACAGATCCACACCATGCCCTCCAAATTAAAGCTCAGAGACATCTCAGTTTTTAAAGGCTATCAGGATAGCTTAGCTTCTCTCTTTTTTTTAATGTATTTTTTGTTGTTGTTGTAGATGGACACAATACCTTTATTTTTAGCTTAGCTTTTCTTTTTGCATAGAACTCACTTAAGAACTTTTTGAAATTTTTTAGTTTCATAAGAAGGTCAAATATGTCCTTTAGATAAACAAGTCTTTGGGCCTTCCCCATACTTATAATTTCCTAGAAGTAAGACTTAATTAAGATAGATTTCTAATGAGTTGAAAACTGTAGTCAAGTTGATGATAGAAAACTATAACCCAGAATGTATAAAGAAGTCATTTCTTTAATGTACCTAAAATGAGTCCATTGTACCCAAGTAAATGGACAAGGGCTAAATTTTTATTTGTTTCTTATCTTGCTTATTCTTTGGGTGGGGGAGGAGGATGGCAGTCAATTCCATGTACACATTTATCTGCATTTTAACAAAGCCACACTTTATTTTTAGATATCAAGAAGAAACTTTTATAGGTTAATTTTCTGGAAAGTCTTTCATTTCCACCATTTATACCACATGCAGGTTCTTCATTTATTAACTGGTGCCCAAGTTGGAGTTTGTAATGAAACTTCTATAAATAGTTATAATCCTTATTAAGTAATACTAGTATTCTCTAGCTATTCACATATTGTATATTGAGTTTTGTTGGGTTTTGGTTTTCTGGTTTTTAACATTAGAAGGCTTTATGCCATTAAAAGCTTTGGTCAGAGAGATTAATTCAGATAGTCAATCATTATTAAAGTCCTTTATTTTTAAACACTCAAATGCCAACTGAATGAATGAAATATAGCACAGCCATTAGTGCCAAGTATTCTATCACCCCTCCACTGCATATATTTGTCCATCTTTATAATATTCCTCCTCTACTAGGCTAATTTCTTTTTTTCTTCATAAGTATGCCACTTGCAACTTTTCTAAGTTGTTTATTATTCAATTTTCAGCCTTTATCCTGCTCACTGCCCTCTATTTCTGAAATCAAAACCATCCATTGTAACATGTGACACCATAGTATACTCAGCACTGAGCTTGGTACATTGAGAGATATAAAAAAGTATTCACACGTTAGATGAGGAAATAGAAATAAGCATTTTGAAGGAAACAAACTATACAGTTGGGTGCAAAATGGTGTGAAACGTGTTGTAATTACAGGAAGAGAGAAGTCAAGTAGCTTGGGAAGGCCTCTGTAGGGAGTAAGGCTTAAATTGAGCTTTGACTTAATAGGGCTTTTGCATGTGATACAAGAAGGAAGCAGGTATTTCAGACTGAAGAAGCAAATCACAGTAAAGATAGGGGAAGCTAGTAAGGGAAGAGTAGAAGGAGAATTGCTAATTGGTGGTTTGGGATTGGGGATTTGCAATAGAAGAAAAATCAAGCTAAAGATTATGGCTCTCAAAGAATGCAGTATGAAGGAGTTTGGAGAGCCACAGATGATTGGAAGGTGGGACTAGGAGATATATTTTACTGTGTTTGCCCAGCATTTTACATGAGCCTGAGCAAACATAAGGAATTTGGTCTTGTTCCAGCCCTGTTTTTTTTTTTTTTAATTTTTTGTTGTTGTAGAAGGACACAATACCTTTATTTTGTTTATTTTTATGTGGTACTGAGGATCAAACCCAGTGCCTCACACATGCTAGGCAAGCGCTCAGCCACTGAGCTACAACCCCAGCCTTTGTTCTAGACTTTGATGCTACTGCTATAAAGAGGAACAATCAGGAGCATCATTTCCAGGTAAACAGCAATGGTTCATGTGTGCGCATCAGTGCAGTGGAGGAAATGTGGATCATCTGTTTTCTGCACTAGGCATCTGTTCTCTGCACTAGGTATTGTGCTAGACACTGAAATCCATTAATAAATGATATACAGTGTGCATCTTGGAGGAGTGCTCAATGTGGCAAGGAAGACAGACTATGTGTAGTCATTTGCTAAGTAGAGATTTGCTGAGCACTACCATATCTCAATGTTCTAGGCACTAGGGACACAACAGTGAACACAAAAATCCTGGCCACAAAGAGCTAACATTTTATTTATTTATATGTAAAATAAGTTAAATGTCTATGTCAGATATGAGCTATGCTATGGAGAAATATAAATCATAGGTACAGAGAGGAAAATTGAAGCCTACAGTTTTAAATAGGAGTGACAGAGAAGGTCTCACTAAGAAAAGTGGAAGGAAAAAGGGAAATGAATGATGTGAACATGTGGAGAGCAAGTGTAAAAAGCCCTGAGGCAGGAATATACCTCGTATCATAAAGGAACAGAAAGGAAATTGCTGGAGTTTCTGGAGTAAAGTAAACAACTGGGAAAGAGTTCCTGAGATCAGGAAAGGTAGCAAGACTTTTACACTAAATGAAATAGGATGCCATTAAAAGAGGGAGTGGCTTAGAATTTAACAGGATCATTCTGTCATTTTAGGCAAATATAGGTATTAATGGACAAGTATGGAACCAGAGAGACCAGTTAAGATAATATTGAAGTTGATGCTGCCTTGAAAAAGAGGGGTAACAGTGAAGTTAGTAAGAAGAGATCAGGGGCTGGGGATGTGGCTCAAGCGGTAGCACGCTCTCCTGGCATGCGTTTGATCCTCAGCACCACATACAAACAAAGATGTTGTGTCTGCCGAAAACTAAAAAAAAAAATAAATATTAAAATTGTAAAAAAAAAAGAAGAAGAGATCAGTTTTTTTGTACACATACATATTTCTAATACTTTGAATAAAAATAATAATAGATATTCAATAAATGCATGTATTTAAAGTACAGTTTAAGTTTTGACATAGATACACACCCATAAACTATTACCACAATTAACTCTCAAGAATTCTCATATTCTTTTTATAATTTCTCCCTTCTACTTCTTCCCTTCCCTAACTTTCATTTCATTGCAATCACTAATCATTTCTTTCTCACTTTCTAGAGTTTTAAATACCACAGTTTGTTTTTCTCATTTGCCTATTCAATGGTCTTTGGATTGTTTCCAGCTTGAGGTCATTACATACAAAGCTGATATTCACATTCTTGTTTAAGTCTTTTTGTGAATACATGCTTTCAGTTTTGTTGGGTAAAATATGTAGGAATGGAACAGCTGGATCATATAATTGTTTTATGCTTAAATTTTTAATAAACTACTATATTGTTTTCCAAATATGTTTTTTAAATGATTGTACTATTTTACAGTTCTACCAATATGTATGAGAGTTCTACTTCCTCACCAATACTTGGTATAGCCAGTCTTTGTAATTTTACCCATTCTAATTTATAGATGTATCTCATTGTGGTTTGAATTTGCATATCCCTAACAACTAATGATGTTGCACATTGTTTTATGCACTTATCTTCCATATATATATATATATATATATATATATATATATATACACACACACACACATACACACAAAAAAAAATTAGTCATATTAAAACAACTTGTCTTGGGCTGGGGATGTGGCTCAAGCGGTAGCACGCTCGCCTGGCATGCGTGCGGCCCGGGTTCGATCCTCAGCACCACATACCAACAAAGATGTTGTGTCCGCCGAGAACTGAAAAGTAAATATTAAAAAATTCTCTCTCTCTTTTAAAAAAAAAAAAAAAACGACAACTTGTCTTTTCTTTTTCTTGCTGATTGTACTGATTAAATTCTAGTATGACATTGACTAGAAATGATAAGAGTACACATTCTTGTCTTGTTCCTGATCTTATGGAAATTGAGTAGGAAAAGCATTCAGTCTCATCATTAAAGGATAATGTTGTCATGTCTTTTATAAATACCTTTTATCAAGTAGTTTTCTTTATTTATTAGTTTGTTGGCAGTCTTTAGCAGGAACAGATGTTATATTTTTGTCAAATGCTTATTCTGCATCTGTTAAGTATAGTCTGCCCACTGTACCCATTTTTGTATCTGCTGATTCCATGTCTGTTGGATTCAGTCATCCACAGATCAAAAATATTTGAGCGAAAAAATTATAACTGTACTGGAAATGTATAGACTATTTTCTTCTCATTATTCCCTATACAACATAGTATAAGGACTGCATAGCATTTACATTGTAATAGTTGCTATAAATAATCTAGAGATGGTTTAAAGTGGGATGTGCATAGGTTATATGCAAATATCATCATTTTATATAAGGGACTTTAGCATTTGCAGATCCCATTTGAGATTTGGACAGCTATAATCATATGATTTTTTTAAATTTGTTAATATAGTGAAATACATTAATTTTTCCAAACACTGATAACCAATCTTTCATTTGTGGGACAAATTCTACTCAATAGTGGTATGTTATCCTTTTTATGAATTGTTGGATTGATTTGCTAAAATTTTATTTAGAATTACATGCATTTTGTTCATGAGAAATGGAGATCTGCAGTTTTCTTGTAATGTCTTAGTCTACTTTTGGTGACAGGATAATACTGGCCTCCTGGAATGAATTGGAAAGAATTCCCAGTTTTTCAGTTTTATGGAAGAATTTGTGTAGATTTAGTATTACTTCTTCTTTACTAATATTTTCTATTTAATATGACATTTTTCTCATACTTTCATTTCATTCTTTAGAAATGATTTGCTTTAGTTCTTTGAAAATTTTAGGTTTTACTCCTGTATAGCCAATGTCTGGGCTTTCTCAGGGAGAGTTTCTGTTCATTGCTAGTGGGGATAGGCACTTTTCCTTGAGTGCATGTGCTTGTTAGTACTCTGCTGAGTACATGAGGAGGAACCTTTGCAGATCTTCAGTTTCTCTCACCATGATGTTCTCTCTCTCTCTCTCCTTTTCTGTCATTCTGTGAACTCTAGCCAACTTGAACTCCCCAGAGTCTCACCTATCATTCAGGGAGTCTCCTTCCTAGGGCATTACCTGGAAATTCTCAAGACACCAAGCTATATGCTTTTCATATTCATTTTCCTTCTCTTGAGGATCATTGTCCTTAATTGCTTGTGAGTCAATGTCTTGAAAATTATTGTTTCTTATATTTTGATTAGTTTTTAATGTTGTTGTTTTAGGTGAAAGATGAATCTGGTCCCTGTTCCTCCATTTGGGCTTTCAGCAAAAGGCCAAATGTTGTATGTTTTTTTCAAGGCAGCTGTGTGATTGATTGGGGGAGATGAAAGGAGAATAGGGTTACTACCATCTGATTTTATTCTGTGGTTAGGTAAAATGAAAAATGGATGGCAGCTTTTTAAGCCTCTATGACCATATACAGATGGGGTGAACAAGAAAAGAACAACGTAGAAATCAGAAAGATAGCAAGAACTAAGACACAAAAATGTAGAAGTTCACGGCACACCCTCAGGCCAGCAAATGTATGCACCTAGAACATATATAGACCAGAAGCAGGGCTGTAAGCCAGATATAATCCTGATATCTTTAGTTGAGTCCTTGTGTGTTTGTGTGTGTGTGTAACTTTATCATTCTTCCAAATATAGAAAGTTTTTACCTGTAAGAAATGCATATTTATGACTTCCTTTGAAAATAATTCAAAATTTTAGACCACAATTCCACATTTTCTCATGACATCCATCAGCTGAAGCTGAAATAGTGGACTTTCCCCTTTAGATGGGTCATCCACTCTCCAGTTTGCCATAGTCCACTGTATTGTTATTGCTATTAGTATTGTCCTTGGCTTGCTTCCATTTTCACCTTATCATCCTGGCTTCCACAGACACTGGAGCTTTTACTTCAGAACATCATTTCCTTGGAGATAAAAGCTGAAAGTGTGAACTTCATTTGGTTTTATTCTTGTAATTTCTAACCTTTCTATTCTCACTCATCTTGACTTCATTTTAATTACTTCGTTTAAATACTACTAGTGCTGCCATAACAGAATACCACAAACTTGCAGGTGGCTTAAACAACAGAAATTTGTATGCACATAGTTATGAAGGCTAGATCAAGATATCAACAGGATTGGTTTCTAGTCTTCTCTTCCTGGCTTATAGATGGCCACCTTTGCACTGCATCTTTAGTGACCTCTTCCCTACTTCAGAGAATATGTATCTCTTCCCCTCCTTCTAAATTTATCAAGAATACATACAAGTAACAATAAATGTTGGTAAGGATGAGGGGATAAATATACACTTACAAATTGCTGATGGGACTGCAAATGGTGTAACCACTCTGGAAAGCAGTATGGAGAGTCCTCAAAAAACTTGGAATGGAACCAGCATTTGACCCAGTTAGTCCACTTCTCAGTATGAGGAGTAAAAATAGCATACTACAGTGGCGCATCCACATCAATGTTTATAGCAGCTCATTTCACAATAGCTAAGCCATGGAACCAACCTAGGTGTTCTATGATAGAAGAATGACGTTATGACATTTGCCAACAAATAGATAGATTTGGAGACTTATCATGCTAAGTTTAGTAAGCCAGTCCCAAAACCCAAAGGTGAAATGTTTTCTCTGATAGGTAGAAGCTAACCCACAATAAAGGGTGGTGGGTGAAGGAAAGAATAAAAGTGCAATAGATTAATAGACATTGGAGAATGGAAGAAAGGAAGAGAGGGAATAAACAAAGGAAAGACATTGGAATGAATCTGACATACTTTTCCCGTGTACATATATGAAAACAACACAGTGAATCCCACCATGATGTACATCCATAAGAATAGAACTCTAACTAGAATAAGATATATTCCATGCTTGTATAATTATATCAAAATAAATTCTGCTGTCTTATATAACTAAAAAGAACCAATAAGAAAAAGAAAAACAATGTGCTTAAAAATCTAAATTAATTAAATTTTCAAAAGTACCCATTCAGATCTGCTGGCATAACGTGAGACAACAGATATATTCAATAATATTTCATGCTATTTATAAAAATAAAGGTGTATAATTTTGATAATACTCTGTAGTATTCCAGTAACACAGTTCTATTCCTACTTATGTAAAATCTGTTGATAGGATATGATGGCAAACCCTAACAAATGTAGTTATAGAAAAAAACTCATTTTCCAAATGTTTTGTTTGACAGATCCCCATTGTGTCTTATTTGAGAAAGGTCCAACAATGAGAAGGCATTTTTTTATTTAGTGTCAATATTTGCAGAAATCATTTAAGCATCTCATTTTTCATTGCTACGCATGTTGTAAATGATGTAGATTAAACTTTAAACATGGTTTTAAATAATTGTTTTGTGAAAAAATTTAAAAAATAAAGACCGGTTATATTGGGTTAGGACCCCACCCTCATGACCTTATTCAACCTTAATTACCTCCCTAAGAGACCCTGTTTTCATTTACAGTCACAAGAGGGGTTAGGGCTTTAACATGAATTTTGAAGAAATACAGTTTTGTCCATGAGATCCCTCCCTGTTCTGTCGAACAATTACCAGATTTTTAAATTCTTGCATCTTCTTTAAGCTCTACCTGGGTGTTTCCCATAATTCCTGGACATTCTAAAGAAAATATGTGGTCTTCTTTTTTCAGTTTCTCTTATTTCATTGTTTTTATGTTCTTTTTCCTAACATAAATTGCACCACCGCTACATATTCCCACATAGCTACAGTTACATGGTTTTATAACTTTGTGACTATTACCATTGGGTTATTTGAAAGGCTCCATTGCCATTCCACAGGTCAGGATGTTACTGCTTACATATGCACAAACTTCCTTCTCTTCTTTCTTCCATCTAAGTTGATAAAACTTTTTGAGTTTCCCAGACATCTAATGTTTTTTCAGAGAAGAGATGAAATTTGTTTTATTCTTATCCCTCATGGAGGTTAAGAAAAGAGGTAATTCTTTCTCTCTGTCTTCCGTAGATAATTTCTCTTACAGTTCTACCAACCGGTTTTCTCACTCAGATCCTCCCATTTGCCCCCCTTTTTATTCCCACTGTCACTTCACCAGATCAAAACCTTCTCTGAACTATGACAACACTTTTCTTACTGCTCCTTGTCCCCTCTTTCATTCCTGTAGTTCTGAAATGGGCAAAGAACAGAGCCGTGAGGACCGAGGACACAAAACGGACTTGCAGGTGAAGAAGAATGAGCAAACAAGCCGAAAAGTCACCCTAATAGAGGTAAGAAAACCAGGAGAAGATTGTGTTGTACAGTGAATAGGGAAAAACTTAGGAAGGATATGGTCAACAATGATAAATGCCAGGAAGAGGAGAGGTGACATAAGGACTGACAAATGCCCTTTGGAAT